CAATTTACCTGCTAATGTAGGCAACCAGACTTGGGAAGAACATTTTGCCATAATGCTCAGCGTAGAAATCGCTTGTCTGTTCAGGTGTGAGGTGTATTTGTCGTTTCTGGAAAATAATCACAGGATGCAATGTTAAATTTAAGTTTAACCCATTGAGTGGCAGCACTCTCCCCCTGACGAGTAAAATCGTCTGGCGTTAGGCAGGGTAATATAATAAAGTAGGGCCATAATATAATAAAGTAATTGCCACGTAAAGGGTTAACCATTAAGTTGCATTGCACCCCAATGGGTTGTTCCACAAGAATATCCACCCCCATGGAAGAAATTGCTGACATCGGAGGTGTTTGTAATAATTGTATTAGGGGATAGAGGTGAACTTCCAATTTCCTCCTTGGGGAAGGTATGGTTGTTCTCTGGAATGACACGATGTGCCATACTTTATTATTTTACTCAGCCTAAACACCAGGTTATGCTGTCTAATGCCAGACAATGAGAGTGCTGGCACTCAATGGCACGAGTTCAAACATAAACAAATACACTCTCGAGTAACATCACAAACATCATATTCACCTGAGTACACAACACCTGACAACACCAACACAGAAAAAAAATCATAAAAAAATCAAAACTTTTTGTCTCACAATGGATCCCAATGTCATCGGTGCATTTACTAGTAAACTCTCCCCTTGACGAGTAAAATCGTCTGGCATATTTATAGTAAAATATAAAAGTCGGGTGCATTTGAGCGCATTGTAACTAAATGGTTTGACAACCTAATTTAAACAACTGCCTCTAAAATACGTAGACAATAGTGATCTTCATTTATAAAATGTTCAACTTTCTAGCAATCTTTTGAACCAAATAAAATATAGCAAAGACACTGTCCGGAAACCCGGCATCGTACCTGTAAAATACTAAATCCATGTTGCTGTATAATTTCTTCTATTTCGTCGCGTTTATCAATCGCATCTGGTTTTATTATAGCCAGAGTTCTTCCTATGTGTATGGGAATGTCTGAATTAGCAATCGGCCTTTCGTCTTCGGGCATTTTTTAAACAAAAATGAATGAAAATTTCAATTTTTCTAAAAAATTCGTTCAAAATAAATATGGCTTCGACGCGTTGCTATGGAAACAGTTGGTGTTTCCACTTTGGCAGAAAGGGAAAATTTCAGTTATACTGAGCTGTATAAGTAAATGGAGTGCAATTCGCCGTGCGTTTCTCGCGCATTCCGTCATCAGGTTGATTATGACGTCAGTAATTGGTCTCGACTAAACCGAGCAGGAAAGTTTTTGGTTTGAAAACTTTCCATTTTTTGAAGAGAAAAAAGAGATATTCCAACATCGCAAAGTCATGACTAAAATCTCGCGAAGACGGAAAATTGCTAGCTGGGAAAGCGTGAAGGAGAAAATTGAAGAAATGATGGAAAATGTGCCGGAACATACGACAGCTTTGAGTCTACCGTATGGCATGCAAGGTCAGCTTTGAATCTACCGGCATGCAAGTTTTATTTGTTCATCTGTAAAGCAAAAATTCGGAAATGTTTTTCTTGCCAGTGATGATGATGATGATGATGATGATGATGATGATGATGATGATGATGATGATGATGATGATGATGATGATGGTGATGATGATGATGATGATGATGGTGATGATGATAGTGATGATGATAGTGATGATAGTGATGATGATAGTGATGATGGTGGTGATGATGGTGATGATGATGATAGTGATGATGGTAATGATGATGATGGTGGTGATGATGATGGTAACAATGATGAAGATAGTAATGATCGATGATGGTAGTGGTAACAATGACATGTGGTAACAGTGATAGTGGTGATGATGATAGTAATTAATGATGATGGTGATGTTGGTGATAGCAATGGTATCAATGTTGATGTTCATTGTTCATGTCTTACAAAACTGTTTGAAATTCAGTAAAAATGAAATTTGAACTTTTTATTTCAGCCCTTTTGTCCTTGAATTTCCTCATACACTTGAAATTCCCTGAATTTAACTTTTCATGAGTTTTAAATGATTGTATTTTCCAGGTTTATATGGCATTTCGCATCCGGAGCCAGTGCGAATCTTACTTCATCCAAACATGAACGATTACGACACGTTTGTAACACACCATGGAAAAGCGAAGAAATTCTACCTCAACTTATGGACCGTGAACCAAAAAGACAGTCAACCTGAAAAGAAGAATACTAAAGTTCAACTCAACTATCCGTTGAAACATATTGTGTATGTGCCAACACATCGCTGCTTTGTAGCGTTCGCGACAGACCTCACACTTCGTGTGTATACAACTATTAATTTTATGGAGATGTCAAGAGTTGAGACGAGCCATAGCGTCTTGTGTCTCTACCACAATGCTTGCCGGGATGACGTTTTAGCTGGCTGCCTTGGTGAGTGAGCGAACTTTTAATTGTTAAGGTCCAGACACACCGGACGCGGTTCGACAGCGCGACGCGATTTTTCGATTTTCATTGACCGATAACTTTGATCCTAGTTCCTAGTTTGAATTTTCCAAATATTTAGAAGCGTTATTACATTTTGAGTTATTTGGTTTACATATCTTTCAGAATTTGCTCTCATTGGCTGTTTCATTAACTTTCAAAAATGAAAAAATGGACCTTTAAGGCCCACACAACAGACCGGACGCGATTCGACAACGCGACGCGAATTTTCAGTTGTCAAAAACGAATAAAACCGTCAACAGATAAAAAGTTTACAAGATATGCAGGCCAAATAGCTAAAAATTGCTTAAGTGGTTCCGAGTATTTGAAAAACATAGAAAAATAGTAAAGTTAAATGTCATTGAAAATTGAAAATTCGCGTCGCAATGACGAATCGCGTCCAGTCTGTACTGATGGATCTTTACTACGAGAGATTCGAGAGAAGCCCCGACGACAGCGGGTTTTCGCTAGAAATGTCGAAGTTCTCCTTGTATTTTTCAGGTAGTTGTATCCCTAGCAATCCGAAGTTTTGAACTTTTTTCTCAATACATAAATATTTGTACAATAACATAAAAAAAATATATACAATATATACGAACATAATAAACTTCTTATTCTAACTAACTCAAAATAATATGATCAAGTTCTCTTGCTTGTCAGAAATTGTCAATCTCATTGCAAAACTATTGTCAAAAATCAAAATATAAGTTGGCTGTTACGCAAGCAATTTCAATGTTGTCAGCATCAACCTTATATTTCTTCCGTAAAGAACGTGGACACCATTTTCAACTTTATCACTCATTAATTATATTTTGTGTTCAATATGTAGACCACAGTAAGACTTTTTTAATGTTTACATTACATTAACACATCCAGGTATAGGATTTCGATTTGAATTTAAACTAACTTGCGCATATTAGTGTATGATGTACACATTAAAAAAGTCTTACTGTTGTCTATACGTTGAACACAAAATATATTACAATTTAATAAGTTCTTTGTAGGTTTGCATGGCGCTAAAATATTTAATACTTTTTGTTTGTGGAAACACCACGTAAATTTATTACTGCAAAGCTTTCGATCCGTAAGCCCGGATCTTCATCAGTGGACATATTATTAGCACTGATGAAGATCCAGGCTTACGGATCAAAAGCTTTGCAGTAATAAATTTACGTGGTGTTTCCACAAACAAAAAGTATTATAATTACAATTTATTTTTAATGCATGATATATAAAATTGTCCCACGTTTGGGGGTATTTTGTAAATTATATTTAGATTTTTCTTCTATTCGCAGGTTTTGTGATGATCTGGAAGTTTCCCCACGCGCAAAGTGACCCAATGTTTCCGACGCAAAAGATCGAGTGTCCAGCGATCCATCCTGATTACTGGGTGACTTGGATTAAAGTGGATAAGCTGTCAAGACAGTTGTTACTGAATTGTGAGGAAGCTATAGTTATATTAGATGAACGAAGTTATCAACTCAAGTATAATTTTAAAATCGATTTCCGTCATCGTTTGCCGTTCACGTCTTGTGCTTTTTACCATCCCAGCTGTTACTTCATCACTGGTGAGTTAGCTGTTCGCTTGTCAGTCTTGACCTCAATTTCCATTTGCAAGCCAAAAATTTCGCTGTCGAAATAAATTTCGCTTAAGGGACCGCGGTCATAAAGTAACTGCTTTTGGTATCTCCACGGTTGGGCTACCAAACAAAAACCCATGTCAAAAAATAAAGATATTAATAATAAAACTAAACAAAACTATCCAAATTCTCAAATGTAAGTGATGCTATTGAAGCCAGTACTTTGTTTATACAACAACAAGAAGTGGTCGAATCACAGCAAATACGACCAACTGGAGAGCAGCTCAGTATCGTAATTGGTGATGAATGTGTTGGCCAAGCTTGGTGGAATTATGTACATGCAGTGTATGTCAAATACAGTGCCCATGGGCGTACCGGAAGGAAAAAATTAGGGGGGCGGAAAGAAAATTGCCCGACTTTTCGGGATTCTGCCCGACTAGTACCAAAAAATTTTTTCCGGAAAAATTATTTTTGCGACCTTCCCCCCCCCCCGTCGCCAAAAAATTTCGGTCAGTGTACCATTTTAGGGGTCAAAAAAATTTTCCGGACAACCAATATTTTTCGGAACATAACACAAATTTTCCAAAAACCACAAAATTTTCCCAAAAATTCACTTAATTTTCACAAAATTGAATGAATTTGTCCCATTTTTTTTTATTGCAAACCAAAATTGCCCGACTGTTCATCGAATATTGCCCGACTGCCCAAAAAACTGGGGGGGCTACCGCCCCCATACAATACAATGTTCATACCTGCAAGTTTTTTATTATAAAAGTGTATTTTCCCAATTTAAATTGGGTGGGTCATGAAAAAAATTTTGTAAGATTAGATGGGCTTTGAAATTTTTATCTACATCCTAAGATGGGTCACCAAACGTATTGGCAAAATTTGTGATTTACCGCCAGCCCACCCTAGCAGTTACTTTATGACCAGTCCCTAATTTCATTTGAATTATGAGCGTTCAAGTAGAACTGATATATTTGATATAGATATATATGATAGATATATATGATAGATATATAAATATTTCTCTGCAAATCTGCCATGGCATTCAACACATATCTTGCAATAAATGGTCGTATCGTCTTAGTTCAGACCTGATTACTTGCTTTTTCAGGATCTAAAGATTACGCTGTCAAAGTGTGGAACACCAGTCTCAATCAGTGTCCTTTGGTCACAAGTTTTTCTGGTAAATGTTCTTTTCTGTTATTTTGTCTCTCTTATAGCTTATTGCTTTGTAGTTGTTGCCTTTCAATAAGCACTACAACCCAACAGATACGCCAGTCAACTTTAGAAATGTTCAAGGAGATTAAATAAATATTACTAAACCCATTGAGCGCCAACACTCTTCCCTTGACTGACGATTAAAATCGCCTGGCGTTAAGCAGAGTAAAATAATGAAATAGGGCGCGTTGCCACAGAATAGAGACTATACAGACGATTGACTTCTTGGGTTTTCCTATGATTTTGGCGTAACCGTAATTCCTCATCAAAATGCTCACGCCATTGCGCTTATGAGAAGTATTCACCCTCCCCTGATGATATTCAAATTGGCGGACGTCCAGGGGCCGAATGCCTCTCGTAAGCGCACTAGGACCATGGCGTCAGCATTTTGATGGCTGAGTCGACCTTCTATGTGTCTTTAGGGAGAGGTCATTATTTATGGTGGGGGGTGGCACCGAAGAGAAATGTTTTCCGTGTCAAAAATTTTGCTGACCCAACCTTTAAAAAGACAAAAATTTGATTACCCAACCTCAAATATCAATTAAAAAATAACTACCCACCCCTGGCCAAAAATTTAACAAAAGGATACCATTCAGTTGTCATACATGTCCTTTATCACTTCAGTGACATGAGTTTGATAACGGCTTGTGAAATTTTCTGCAGTCTAAAGTTTCATGTTGTCTGCACATGTACTTTCTTTGGAAACTCAATTTGTTTTGTCAAACTATGATCAAGATAGTGACTCTGATTGATTCACATATTGTGTTGACAAATGACTGTTGACATTGCTTTTCAGTCTCCAATATTTCAGTGGGTCATGCTTTGGAAATGACAATAAATTTTTATTACCCAACCCTTGAGTTGTTTTGTTTTTCATTTACCCAACCTTTTTCTTGCTCAAAATTTTGTTTACCCAACCCTTTTCTCTTCGGTGCCACCATAAATAATGACCGGTCCCTTATTCTGTGGCGTTGCATCTAACTGGGTGAATCATATGGTTTCGTATGTTTTTAATATCGTTTCCAGGCCACTGCAATGCGATAACTGCGCTTGAGGTGGACATTCCACATCATCTGGTAATCTCAAGCTCAACTGATAAAACTATTCGCTTCTGGTGTTTGGAAACATTCGCGCAGACTTACGTCTTGGAGACTGGTGAGGAGGTCCACCACATGGAACTTATGACGTCACGAAGACTATTCTACCAATCCCATGAGCATATTCGGGTTTGGAACTTGAATCATTTTCATACCTTATTCACGGTGTTAGGTTTCGAGATTGTGACATCACGTCGCGTGGTGTCTCGCGGGTTCCCCACGCGGTTGTTATTGCAGGGTAAAGATGGTGCCATAAGGATAGTATCACCGAGTGATGGGACTATTATTACCACTATGTTTCCCCTGGAGACCCTCCCTGAGGGCATCGTGGACTACGCGTATAACCCACGCGAGGACAGGCTGTACGTGGTGTTATCGTCTGGGGCGATACTGGTGTTTAATACAAGAACTAATCCTTGCAAGTTAGTGGCCAATTTCTGATTCTGACCACATAGATATCTTGAGATTGCCAAACTGAACTAAACTAAATGGATAGCTCTATCAGTTGTAAACTGTTCTCTCTAGAGGTCCAGTAAGAGTCATCTCTTATTGATCCAGTGTTACTACAAGAGGAAACCTAAACTAAACTAACATTATTTATATACTGGATAGCTCTATCAGTTCTAAAGTTTTCTTCCTAGAGGTCCAGTGAGGGTCGTCTCTAATTGATCCAGTGTTACCACAGGAGGAAACCTAAACTAAACTAACTTTATTGATATATTGGATAGCTCTATCAGTTCTAAACTTTTCTTCCTAGAGGTCCAGTAAGGGTCGTCTCTAATTGATCCAGTGTTACTACAGGAGGAAACCTAAACTAAACTAACTTTATTTATATACTGGATAGCTCTATCAGTTCTATCAGTTCTAAACTTTTCTTCGTAGAGGTCCAGTAAGGGTCGTCTCTAATTGATCCAGTGTTACTACAGGCGGAAACCTAAACTAAACTAACCTTATTTATACTGAATAACTCTATCAGTTCTAAACTGTTTCTCCTAGAGGTCCGGTAAGGATCATCTATAATAAGATCTAGTGTTACTACAAAAGGAACCCAGAATACTTGAAGAAAACCTGTGGTGTTTGGTAGAGTCTGGAAGCACTCTTGTCACCTGTGACTGAGGTCCTGCGTCTTTCTAATGATTCGTCGTACTCTTAATATCTGCATTATACGTTGGAGTACTCCATTACTTGATGTATGCAATTCCTAATTCTTCGCATTATTTTTCAGTACTTACCAGTTATGGAAATCGGACGCGTTTGATGGGGAGAGAGTTGTGTCGGCATCATTGGCAGAGTCGTATGGAGTGAGCTGTATCACCATGATGAATGTTGATGAAATATCTGCGACAGCAGAGGATGAAATACATCATTATACGCTGTTGTTTGCTGGCCTCAACAATGGACATATCTCATTGGTTTATAGCAATGGTAAGATATCTATTTTTAAGTTCAATATAGCCCGATGCCCCATCTGTCGTGTCTGTTGCAACAATTCCAGACCGTATCACAATAGTCTAATGTTGGTAGAACATAGGATTTGTAAACGATGTTGGCAGTATGCATCGAAATATCATTCCGTAGAAACGCTAGAAACGTCAATGTTTTGTTTATATTTTTTATATCTCTCTCAATCTGTAGCTACCAACACTTAGCACGGTTCGAGATTTACCCAGCCCTGGGCTGAATTTTACTTTTGTATTCTAGAGCTCAGCATGCATGATACAATTGAAGCGCACTATGGAAAGATCGCGTTACTGCGTGCATCTGAAGGCTTGAACCAAGGCAACTCCTTGTACTCCGCCATATTGGTATCTTGTGGTGAAGACTGCGAACTGAAAGTGTGGAAGATCGTGTTTCGTAATTATTCTGCCAAGATTATCTCACTAGAACTATGGAGTTACGTCAAGTTACTGAGTATACCGCATGATATGGAGACCATTGGGTACACAATAGGGCTAGCTATGGATAATAATGCTCTTATGACGTGTAGGTAAGTAGGTTAAATATGTACAATAATGGATAAGAGGGAATGTATGGGGGTAATTGGGTACACTGTCGGGGTAGTGATGGATAATAATGCACTTATGACATGTAGATCAGCAGGTTTGTATGGGTGTGGTAGTTGATAAAGGGGTGTATTTTTGAACGGATTGCGTTATCCACAGGATAGTGACTTTTTCAAACTTTCTAAGATTGACCGTTGATTGGTTTAGATTGAAATTTATTTTTAGTGTTAATTTCGCAGATTCACGCCACATATCCTTAAATTAAGCTACCGTGAAGTGTTCTGGTGTTTTTTCTTGAAATATTTCAACATTTACTCAATGATTAATTTTGTTTATACTTCATTTAAATAGCTAGCCTTTAAATAAATAACGCTAATCTTAAACAAACATTACTTGTGCTGTTTGCATAACACACAGCAAGGACGAAGAAAAATTTCTACCAGTTCCGAAATATATTTCAACCAGTTCCGAAGTTTGTTGCCGACTTTATTTCAACCAGACTATTCTGCTTGATGTTTTTAGGGTGAATCCAGAAGCTGAACACCCCGCACGAAGCATTCACAGTCATCGAGATTCCTTATCAAGAAGTGGACTATTGGACTTAGAATGTTCTACTTCGACCGTTGAAGAATCGCACTCGAAAATTATTACTGGGGTATGGTAGATTCAACAGACTTTATATGTAGGACTACATTGAACCTGAGGGGATTTTGGGGATGTGTCTTTCATCTTTCTGGCTAGGGTTTCATTCCCGCAATATTCAAGTTGTCTCCTTGATATTTTACATCAATCTCATGCGAGAAGAATACTTCAAGTTTGACTCACCAAATACCGTAGTTTGCATGTGGCTAGAAAGGCCCACACAGACCGGACGCGATTCGGCAACGCGACGAGAATTTTCGGTTTTCAAAAACCAATAAAACCGTCAGCGTCACTCTGACGGTAGAATTTCGTTCCGTTTTCAAACTCTTACGGTTAGCATATATCGTTTTCAAACTCTTACGATTAGTGTTACGGTTTCACATTTTTTCATACCGGCATCGTGTGAACGCAACCCCTAAACGTAAAAATTTCGTTTATATATTTATCTACGTTTCGTTATATTTATCTACGTTTCGACTATATTTCAGTCATCATAAGGATAAACTGATGATGACTGAACTGATAGTCGAAACGTATAGATAAATATAAAAATGTTATCGATCTTTGGAGTTCAGTGGTTCTAAAATATTTTGTAGCTTGTGCCTGTTTTAGGCATACCTTTAGCCAGGGTTTGTGTCTATAAAGTAAATGTTATCGATCTTTGGAGTTCAGTGGTTCTAAAATATTTTGTAGCTTGTGCCTGTTTTAGGCATACCTTTAGCCAGGGTTTGTGTCTATAAAGTACGCCTGTTTTCGACAAACCTTATAGCCAGGGTTTATAGTTAAAGGTATGCCTGTTTTAGGCATACCTTTAGCCAGGGTTTGTGGTCTATAAAGTACGCCTGTTTTCGACAAACCTTATAGCCAGGGTTTATAGTTAAAGGTATGCCTGTTTTAGGCATACCTTTAGCCAGGGTTTGTGGTTAGAAAGTACGCCTGTTTTCGACAAACCTTATAGCCAGGGTTTATAGTTAAAGGTATGCCTGTTTTAGGCATACCTTTAGTCAGGGTTTGTGGTTATAAAGTACGCCTGTTTTCGACAAACTTTATAGCCAGGGTTTATAGTTAAAGGTATGCTTGTTTTAGACATACCTTTAGCCAGGGTTTGTGGCTACAAAGTACGCCTGTTTTTGGCATACCGCAAGTTCTAAACTGTTCTCCCTAGAAATCCAGTAAGAGTTATCTTGTATTAGTCCAGTGTTACTGCAGAAAAGCTGTGACATACCTGTCATGAAAATGGGGCAAAATACAATGATATATACAAGTGTGTATATTGCAGGAATCTTCCCTTTCACTCGTCATCTTCTACCTTATTTTTTTTCAGCTTTCAGCGTGTCCAACACTTGGTCTCTTTGCGACCTCAAGCGATGACTGGAGTGTTAAAATCTGGAACACTGACGCAAAACTTCTGAAAGAAATTTGCTTCGAGGAGTCCCTGCGTGGCGTGTGCTTCGCGAACACGCGTGGCGATCTCCTGGTTGGTTTCCAGTCCCATATCAGTATTGTCCCGCTCACTAACTATCTGCCACTCAAGATACTCGAGACGTTGTCAACAATGGATTTTCCTGATGACATATTTGAACATCATTTGCCGTTTGATCGCATGTTGACTTTTTCCTACGATCCATTACGGACTCCGTGTTTACCTCTGGACCTTGATCAGCGACGACTGGTGTTACAACAGGACGAGCATTGTATGAAGGTGAGTATATAGGGACATCTGGGTGTATAAACATCGAGGCCGGATTTTTGGTCGAGATAGTCATGGGGAGGTGGGAAAAAAATTAGAGGAGGTGCAGCAGTTTAGCTGAAGACACCCATGGAAAGTTAGGGCTTAGAAGGGGCCAAAGTTAGACGTGACGTATGCATGTTATGTACATATGTATCAGTGTATTCATGAATTATGACTGTACGACTCATCCAATTTTGCCCTTCATTACAACTAGCTTGAGTTGATGCGTTTTGCGCATAGATCCATGTGGGATCCTACCTGGCCTCAATATCTGAGGTTAGAACTACATATACTAGTAACCGACAGCTTCGGTCAAGTTGCGCACCCTCCCTGAAGATACCGCTGGAAACAGGAACCTTTCAGGATTCTTGTTCAAAGTTTTTGAACTACCCATAACTTTAAGAAATAATGACGATCATAGATCCTTCTTAAATTCGATGAAGACTCTTCTTTTTAATAAGGCCCACGAACGAATTGAACAATAACTTTATATTCGTATTTTTATACCATACATCTATATTATACATTTATGAACTTATTTGTATATTTTATATATTAGCATAGGAATTAAGGATGTAGAGCTATCATGTAGATATGCCTTAATAAATTCGTTATTATTATTATTATTATTACTACAAAGTCTCTTTCAAAACATTGCATTAAAAGGGTACTTGATCCAGAAATGAATGGCTATCACTGTTTCAATTTTACAGAAAAACTTTCTTACGAAGTGTAGACCCTAAGCAACCGAAAATATCAAATTTTCACTTTGATCTACCGGGTGGCCCAAAAAAAAGTACTCCTGTTTGATTCGTAATAACATCTAAACAAGTATAGCTTTTAAAGAGAAATAACTTGCATCAAATAGAGGAAGGACTAACTTAGACTTTGATATATTACAGTTGTATTTCACTTAAAAATTCACGAAGATATTAATCTTTAAATTCAGGAGGATATTTCTGGATGTGTCTGAAATATGCAAAATCGGCGTATCAAATATTAATCAAGATTTGCCCGACTGAAACATGCACTATTACCAGTAAATAAATGACACATGACAAATTGTTTATTATGAAACAAAGTATTATTATATCTACAAAATACAAGCAAGATTCATTCGTCCGAAATTCGCGTGTGTTCCTAGCACGAATACGTTTCCTTATTTCATGAGACCACTGCATCGCGAAGGATCGTCATTGGATCGTTCGTAGTTCTGAATTAGGGCATGCTGTCACAACGGAATTGTGAAGCTCTTCTAACTTCTGCAACGTTCTGAAATCTTGTTAAGAACACCCAAACTCTTTTGCCGTTTCTTAATCTTAGCAAGTTCATGGAGTAAACTGAGAATTATATGAAACACAATCAAACCATACAACTCCATAAGACATAACAATTAAGCAACTCCCCAGAGACATGCAACATTTTTGGAACAAAACGTAACAAAATAGTAGCGTTGATACGGTGATGTGTATTTGCAAAAAGCAATATTATTTCCTTCAATAAAGAATATTCATCCTGCTCTAACCGAGAAATAATCTACTCAGTCTGTTTGAACCATTAAAAACATAAAAAAATTAGGCTATTTAAGAATACGAAAAATTTAAGCGCCTGCCTTCCATGGTCAGTCTTTCATGTACATTTAAGTTTGCAAAGACCTAATATTAAATACTTGCATAATTTCGAACGTTCATATTTCAGGAAACAATGAGCTAAGACTTACATGTAAGATGTCTAAATCTACGCCATATCACTTACAAACCTTAACGATAATTCGCTGAAATACAAGTTAGCCTAATATGTCATTAAGCAAACAAACGCTGGAGTTAATATTTGATATGCCGATTTTCGCTAATCTTAGACACATTCCAAAATATGCTCCCATTTTTAACATTAATATATCCGTGAATTTTTAAGTTAAATACAACTGTAATATATCAAAATCTAAGTTAGTCCTTCCTCTATTTAATGCAAGTTATTTCTCTTTAAAAACTTTACTTGTTTAGAAGTTATTACGAATCAAACAGGAGTACTTTTTTTTGGGCCACCCGGTATCATTGAAACTTTGCCAAGGGGAGTGCATTACTTTTCAGGGAAGGTGGAAATATTCCCAGGGGGG